ATTATATTATATTATATTATATTATATTATATTATATTATATTATATATTATATTATATTATATATTATATATATTAATGTATATGTTGCTGTCTTACGGTCTCAGTTTGTTTCTTCTGTGTTATTTTGTGTTGCTGTTTGTTTGTTTGTTTCGTCTGCAGCATTGCTGCTGTCTTGCTGCTGATTGTCTCCCTTAGTAGTGGTTTGTTCAGGTGTCTCCTCAGGTGTTTCTTTATTTTCTTTTGCTGCTTCTTTTGAGGTTTTTTCTTCTGCCTGTAAGATATACTCTCGAGTAGCATTTGCTTGCGTATCATCAGCTGCAGCAGCTGCTTCCTTGCTGCTCTCTACGTTTGCTGATGCCTCTGCAGCAGCCGCAGCAGCTTCAGTAGCAGGGACATCTTCTTTGGAGTGTGCTGCTGTATCTGCTGCTGCTGGTGCTGCTTCTGCTGCTGCACCGTCTGCTGCTGGTGCTGCTGCTGCTGCTGCTGCTGCTTCTGCTGCTTCTGCTGGTGGTGTGCCTGCTGCTGGTGCTGGTGAGTCAGCTGATGGTGCTGCTGCAGCATTATCTGCTGCTGCTTCTGCATTATCTGCTGCTTCTGCTGCTGCTGCTGTTGCTTCTGCTTCTTCTGAACGCAGCAGCAGCGACTGTAAACCTTCAGCAAATTGCTGCAGCGTTGTTATCTTCGATTCTACTGTGCTTGAAGTTGATGTATCTCTCCCTAGCTGAGCCCCTGCTCCTAATACTTTCTCTGTTAGAATGAGGCCCCCGGCTTCTCTATAAGGCGACACAGAAAGACATCAAAAGGAGACAGCAAAGGAGACACTATAAATTAACAAATTCAAACAAACACTCAAACAAACAAAACGACAAGGCAGGCACATTCATATACGTATATATAATATTATATATATATAATATACATATATAGATATATTATATATATTATATATATCAATGCACATATAGTGTAATAATTCATATGCATGCAGGCTTATTATATATATATATATATATA